ACTGAGATTGTTTTTGTCCTTTTTAAAGCTTACCATTTTTACCAAACTATATGCCAGGTGTTTTGTTTTATTTTTACTCCGTATTTTGTTTCTGAGCTTTGAAACTCCATTTACAGTGGCTCCGTGAATGGAGCTCGGCGCCAGCCAATCACGTCATCACCCGGACGCTGAGTGATGACGTAACGTCAGCGTCAGATTGAATTGTTTTTAGCTTTTCGGGCGTGAGCCGGTTTAGCTAGCGTTTGATGGACAAGGATTTGAATCCTTTTCCCGCCTCAGAATATGAAAATAACCATTTAAGATGACTTCTGCCATCATATCCGCGATAAAAATCCTCACCAGCCCTCTTGGTGGTGAGTAAAAGTGTGACGAAAACAAGAAGCTAGCTTTAGCAAAGGGGACTCACGTGCGCATGGGAACGTTTCGCTTTATTCATTGAGATAATCAGAAATTCTTTAATAATCCAAGAGAGAAATTATAATCTAAATATTTCTTTCTATATTCAGAAACAATATAGCCACCAGTTCAGTACCTATTTAGAATTAAATCAGTTAAAAGTTTTGATAACCTCTGAAGTCTGTTTTTATTGGTTTACTTCTGTTATAATTTTTGTCCTGTTTAGCATTATTTCAGCAGAACTGAAATCTGAGTACCGTGCTATGATGAACAAAACTACTTTGCCAAGAGAGGCTTTGTTAGTGAGAAGCCCCCCTTAATCACCCAAAACTGCTTGCTTTATTGATTTTTGTTACCAAACTTCCATGTGTCCAATAATACAGAACCTGACAGAGGGAAGAAAGAAGAGCAATAAAATAAATAAAAAATAAATAATAAAAAAAGAAGAAGAGAGAAAGATAACAAGACCATACATCCAGCTGCTATATCTGTAAAAAGGACACTGTTTCTTGTTTTTAATCAGATCATAAATACTTTAATAATCCCAGAGGGAAATTATTTTATAATTTTACATAATTATGATATATATGACTTAGACTTAGACTTAGACAGTACTTTATTGATCCCTTGGGAAGACTCCCTTAGGAAATTAAGGTTATCAGCAGTTTAAAGGGCAAAAAGTATTAAGTTAGAATTAAATTAAGCAAAAAAAATAAAAATAAATAAATAAAAATACAAAAAATACAGATTAAG